GTCATTCGAATACTTTACTGAGAAAATAAAGTAACTAAAACTCCCATCATGATTTACTTCAAATAACTCAGGTTTGCCAGAATAATGGGTGGGTTTTGGGATTAAATGAAATGGACCATGTGTCAAAAATTGCTGAAGGAGAGTGATGGGATATGGGCTTCATTTTCATTTGAAACATGAAATTGCCATTTTTAACTAAAAATTGTCACATTTTGGCAATTTCACACAGTTTAAGCTAGTGCTGTTCTCATTATTTTTGTAACTTTTCCACAATATGAAAGTTTTCAAATAAAAGATAAAATGTTACCTCCCACCAGACCTTTGCTAGAACATTCATGTACTTTCTTATCCTGGCTCTTGTATCTCATAATTGAGTGGAAATTCCCATTCGCCAATCAACTTCTCCAACAGCAGCACTGCCTCACTGATTTCCCTTTATTATGGGACCTGGTACTGTTCTCAGGATTTTTCCTATTAACAACAATCTCTCCCCATCCTGTTGTGTTAATTGGATACTACCTTATCCTTATTGCTGGTAAAGCTCATCGTGTTCTTGAAAAATCACTTCATTAGTTTCTTATGATCACTTCACATTCTCTTCCTACCTCACAGTCTATTATTGGCAATCCTAACTAATATGGAGGTCATGCCCTTGCCCAAGTTACTTATATTTACCAATCTGGGGGCTGATGTCTCTTTATTTGTCCAGTACACCCCAGGTTGTGAACTCCTGTATTAAGGACAGAGACCCTGTCTTCTATGAATATCTCACGCTTACATGGCATCGGGCACATAGTTAAATGCTCAAAATAATATATTTAATTTTTTAAAAATTTCAAATACTTTCAACTTTCAGAAAATTGTATATAAAAATGGCAAAAAGAACTTTCACATACCCTTTACAAAGATTCATGTTGCTAGCATCTTATTACCTCTCTCTCTCTCTCTCTCTCTCTCTCTCTCTCTCTCTCTCCCCCTCCCCCCTACACACACACACACTTTTTTCTGAAACAGTTGAGAGTAAGTCGCAGACATTATTTCCCTTTGCCCTTCAATGTGTTTCCAAGAACAAGGACATTCTGTTATATATACATAGAAAGTTAGCAAATTCAAGAAATATAACATTGATACTGTACACTATTATATAATATACAGATCATATTCAAATTTTGTTAATTGTCCCAAGAATGTCCTTCATTGCTATTTTATTTTTCTGGTCCATGATCCATTCTAGGATCACACATTGAATTTAGTTGTCATGTCTCTTAATTCTCTGAAGTCTCCTTAAATCTGGTACAGTCTTCAACCTTTCTTTGCCTTTCATTACATCAATACTTTAGAAGAGTACATGCCAGCTATTTTGTAGAACATCCCTTAATTTGGGTTTGCCTGATATGCCCTCATAATGAGAAGTTATGCATTTCTGGCAGGAGTAAAACATAAAAAGGTACATGATTGTTGGTGGTGTTAACTTTGATTACTTGGTTAAGATGATATCTGCCAGGTCTTTCCACTATAAAGATACTTTTTTTCACTTTGTACTTAATAACTAATATATGAGAAGATACTTTGAGAGTACATAAATATTATGCTCCCCATCAAACTTCACTCGTTTTAGGATCCATTTATGACACTTGCCTGAATCAATTACTATGGTGGTTGCCAAATAGTAAAATTTCAAAATAATACATATGCATTGATTAACATGATTCGTTCATTTGTCTTACAGAAGGGACATCTCCTTCACTAGGACAGAAGCCTCTGGTTGGCTGCAAGAGTGGAGGCTAGGAGACAAGCTAGCAGCTTGGCTCTAAAACACAATGATCCTTTGCAGTGTTTGAACACCTTGGATGAGGTTGGTTCTCCTGCAAGCCCCGCTGGCCTTTATCATGGCACAAAATGGACTACATGACTTTCCCAAAATAACTGTTTGCTCAGTAGATCCCATGACTGCCTTCTCTTACTATTTTCCATCAAACTTGAGACAGAGGTGGTAAATGGGTGGGAGGGTACTCTTGCCTTCCATTTTGATTTATTTGAACAACATAAAATGGAATTCAGTATTCCACACAAGCTTTATTGGCCATTCTGGAGACCCACATTTTTAAGTACCAGGATGAAGGCATCATTTTTTATGTGGATTAACATACAGAAAATGAGGGCACTGTGACTACATGGAGGGCAGAAAGAAGTGTTGTGGAGCTATTTCTTTTGGGGACTATATTACTTTTCTAGGGCTGCTGTAACAAATGACCACCAACTGGGTGGCTGAAATTTATTCTCTCACAGTTCCAAAAGCTAGCAATTTGAAATCAAGGTGTGGCAAGGCCATGCTCCCTCAGAAGCCTCCAGGAAAGGATCCTTCCTTGTCTCTTCCAACTTCTGGTAGCCCCTGGCATTCTTAGCTTGTAGTTGCATAACTTCAAACTTGGCCTTCATCTTCACATGGTCTTCTTCCCTCTGTGTCTTTGTGTGTTCTCTTATATATGTGTCTATATCCAAATTTCCCTTATAAGGACATCAGCCATATTGGTTTAGGGCCCACCTTAAAGATCTCATCTTAACCCATTTCCAAATAAGGTCACATTCACAGGTGCCCAGGACTAGAACTTGAATGGGAGCCAATTTAACCGATAACAGGAACCATGTCTGAAATCCAATCCACTTTGAGAACACAAAGTGGAGTGCCATTTTGATATAGTGCATAAGCCAAATATAATAGGGCCTTCTGTCCCTTCTGCTCATTCTCGTCTTGGTTGGCACTGCCAGCATGTAAGGAAGGAAACTGAGCAGACAGAACATGCTCAGCCCCCTTGAAATAGACTTCGGACATAATTTTCAAATGATCACAAGTTATTAATGTAACCATTACATAGAAGACAATAATAGAGAACAATCCACAGTCTGTAAGGCTCTGGCTCCTGCATTCTTCATAGAATTCTCATAATTATTATATAAATAGATTTGTCACCATTTGATAGATGGAGAGCATGAGACCCAGTGAGATGAAGTGACTTCCTATAGATCACAGCTACTGATAGGAAATTCCATGCAGAGCTGAGCCATGTCTGTGAAGCATAGAGCCTGGCCCCATGGTAGGTGCTCAGTAAATATTTGTTGGCTGAATGAGTGAATGGATGACTAAATCTGGGACCATAGCTCTGTTCTTCATTTCCGGATCCATTACTCTTTCCACTGGATCACACAAATGACTGTAGACTGAAGTATGGTCTCAAGACAATGACTGGAGTATAGATGTGACTTGGTCAATTTCAGATTATTTTTCTATATTTAACTAGAGGACTGGTGCATGAATTCATGCACAGGTGGGGTCCCTCTGCCTGGCTGGCGTTTGGGGATGATCAGGGCCATCTCAGCCAGTCCCTATCAGGGCCAGCTGGCTGTGGGGAGGGACCAAGAGAGGTTGGCCAGCCAAGGGAGGTTGGCTGTGGGAATGCACTGACCACCAGGGGGCAGCTCCTGAGTTGAGTGTCTGCCCCCTGGTGGTCAGTGTGCATCATAGCTACTGGCCGGTCATCCGGTCATAAGGGTCACTTAGGCTTTTATATATATAAGATAACCTTCTGAATTCTGTGCTTATAAGCATATCAGTCTATAATTGATTTTTTTTACTCCTCCACATGTGCTAAACTGATCAAGAAGCCAATTTGTCAAGGTTCTTAAGCCACTAATTTTACTTGAACTACATATTTGTCACAGATTACATTTGTACAAAAAAAATCCTTATCACATGGACAGTCTTATAATAACAATGTATCAAGGAAGTAAAGAATTCAACATGTTAACTTCATATCTTTGAAATGGAATGTTGATGTTCCCTTATACTTATTTCTGGATCTTCATTAACATCACTGAAGTAGCCAGGAAAGCTCTATTTAGCCTCGCCAACAAGTACTCATTAACCACATGCTGTGTGCTCAACCCTATGCTAGTTACTGTGGTGGTGGTGGGCCCTGGTTAGAGATCAGAAAGAACCTCTCTCAAGGAACTTCCAATCTAGTGAGTAATGTGGCCTTCACCTGAGAAACAATGAAGAGAAGGGTTACATTTGCTAAGCACCTGTTAGGTGCCAGAAACTTTACAAACCCTGTAAAGCAGGTATTACTCCCACTTAATAGATGAGCAAACTGTGGGGCAGAGAGGTTAGGACAACTTGCCCCAAATCACATAGCTAGTAGGTGATAGGACTAGGATTTGAACCTAGGCCTCTGTGACTCAAAATAATATGAGACAGTTTATAGTCAAGTGCTTGGCTTCATGGGCCAGATAAGATGTACTGAAGAAGTTTCAGCCAAAAACTTGGAATCTGAAAACCAAGATGGGGCCTCTAGGACAGGGGTCCTCAAACTTTTTAAACAGGGGGTCAGTTCACTGTCCCTCAGACTGTTGGAGGGCCGGACTATAGTTTAAAAAAAAAACTATGAACAAATTCCTATGTACACTGCACATATCTTATTTTGAAGTAAAAAACAAAATAGGAACAAATACAATATTTGTATTTGCATGTGGCCCCCGGGCCATAGTTTGAGGACCCCTGCTCTAGGAGATAGTGTCAGGAAGCTGACAGTCTTCAGTAGTGCTCTCTTCCAAATCCCTTTATAACCTGCCCTTACAACCACCTATTCACACTGAAGGGCTCAGGCTCTCTCAGTTCCTCTTCTGGTGCACTTGGGGAGGTGGGAAGAAGAAGCTGGTTCACATTTCTACATTCCACTCAAACTGCCCCCTCTCTGAAGCTAGCTGAATTGTTATTCTTCCAAGTCCCTGACCTCCTGGGTCAATTTCTCCATGCTTCTGAACTCCAGAAGCACAGCTCCCTCTGAGCTGAAAGGAACCTCTTTGCTTTGTGTGATGACTGGGTGCCTCTTATTTCAGAACCACAAGACAACTCTCCCTCCTTCCTATCCTTATGCTTCTATTTACATCAAAGGCATAAAAGGAATTTAACATGTTTCTGTTTTGTTTTGTTTTGATGACAGGGAGAAGAGCTGGCTCAGTCAGATGTAGAATCTTCCCAGTCTGCTCAAGGCATTATCAACCAAATAGTTGCATCCGAAACATCAGATCTGTTAATTAAAAGAAAAGAAGGAAACATGCATTCTGACTTTTTTTCCCCAATGAAGAAATTAAGCCCTAACTAGTTTGGCTCAGTGGATAGAGCATCGGCCTGCAGACTGAAGGGTCCCAGGTTCGATTCCAGTCAAGGGCATGTACCTTGGTGACGGGCACATCCCCAGTAGGGAGCGTGCAAGGGGCAGCTGATTGATGTTTCTCTCTCATTGATGTCTCTAACTCTATCCCTCTCCCTTCCTCTTTGTAAAAAAATCAATAAAATATATCAAAAAATAAGTGGAACAACAATAAATCTCTCTTTAAAAAAAAGAAAAAAGAAATTAAGATGGAAAAGAAAAATGTTTCCTAAGTCCATAGTTCTAACTCTCAAGAATCAAGATGTTATAGTGTGTATGTGTGTGGGGAGGGGAGTGGGGTAGGGTTTTCTCAAAATAAAAATTAGATAAAGGAAGGCTTTTATAGAGCACTTAAAAGAAATGCAGGATTGTGCTTGAGATGTTTTTAATTTTTTATTTTGAAATAATAAAATAAAAAATCATCCTATAGATTTATAGGAAGTTGCCCAGTCTTCCCCAATGATTACATCATATGTAAATAAAGTACCATATAAAGACCAGAAAATTGACATAGGTACAATGTGTGTGAATAGCTATTTTATTACATGTATAGATTTGAGGAACCATCACCACAATCAAGATACAAAACTATTCCATCATCACAAAAATCACCCTGGTGTACCTCTTTATAATCACACCCACCCCAACAATCCATGAACTTTGGTAACCATTAATTTGTTCTCCATCTCTATAATTTTGTACTTTAAAGAGTACAATTTGCTTAAGAAAGGATTGGCACCTCTAGTTTTCATAGAATCTCAGGCTTGAATTAGTGAATTCTCCAGCCCAACTCCTGTCCCATGCCCAGATTCCCTCTACAATATCTCTTCCAAGTGTCCATACAGCCCCCACCACAAACCAGAACCTTGATTTTTGGAGAGTGTTAAGGTATTTTATACAAAAACTTTAGAGCAAGAACATTGTTTGCTTCCATACACTTATTCAATAATTAGCAAAACTCTTATCTTTACATTAAGTGTTATAAAATGTCCTCTCGTGTGCTGATATCCCCATTACACTCTGTTCTGTCCAAAACAAACATCTCTTTTCTTTCTTTCTTTCTTTTTTTTTTTACATCTCTCTTTTCTATTCCTTTTACCTAGTGATGCAGGAAGACTGGAAGGCTCACAGAAAATTTCAGAAATTCTTTAACTGTAGATTAAATAGTCTTGCCTTCAACAACAGGGACCTTTCAAATGTAAGTGGTTCATATATGGAATTTATTTCCTGGGCTGACTGTGTGTGTGTTATCTACATATCTACAATGATCATTCCTTGAGGTAATCTGAACTGGAGCCCAAATCCCCTAGAATCCAACTCCTAGGACTCCCTTGTGGGAAATAGCTCTACAGGGCCCTCTAGAGCCCATAACATCATAAAATATTGCCTGAAAGTCATGCTAAGGCCAGGTAGCAGAAGTGAAGCCACGGGGGTTCCATGGCTCAGATTAACTTGGAATCCCTATCTTCTTCTCTGGACTGTTCTGCAATCTTTCTTCTTTGCACAAACTTAACTTGCTGTTCATGTCACAAAGAACACTGTACTCAACTGGATAGCAGCACATACACAAATCCACTCAGACCTTTTAGGATGTGCCCTTTAGAAGAAATTACTTCAAACAAATGGTTCCCTTTAAGAGCCAGCCCCAGAGGTAGAGCTACGGCGGATATCTGACTTTGGGCCAGTAGACACTACAGTTTAGTGAATGTTCTCTTTCTTCTTGAAGTCAAAGCAATGGTGCTCCAGCTCCCTACTTTCTGAGTAGGAGCCCCTGCCTTCCAGAACATTCATTGCTTTCCCCTGCAACAACCATGCTGTTGGTCCACAGGTGAGGAGAGGATGAG